TTCATAAATTAATTACTTACCCAAATTCATTAGTAGTGAAGTGGAGGGAATTTTAGGGAAAATATTCTGGGAAGTGACCTTCTGAATACTTTTTTTTTCTTAAATTAGTCATTAAATAAACAAGTTTGTTCGACAAAAAAGTTATAGAAGAGAATATATATATATATATAGACTATAGGCTATATATTTAAGGCTATTAGATTCATCTAGTTAATGCGTACGAGATCATTCTCTTTATCATCCTAATTACGCCAATAACAAAGTTTTTAAAAGGGTACGGTTGGTCAAACAGGCATGTCTCGTGTAAAAACATTCATAAAAATATTTTAATTAATAGCTTATCTACGATATTTAATCTATTTATCGATTAAATAAACAAGCTATATTATATTTAATTTTTTAAGAGTAATATTTGGATATTTAAATGACTATTTCATCATTTTTTTTTTAAATTTTGATGATGAGATATGTCTATATCTATTTAAGTAAATAGACTAAATCCATTTATACGAAACAAAATAATTAAGAAAATTTATAACTTAATAATTATTATTTATTTTTTTTTAAAAAAGAACTATTTATTAAAATGGCTTTTCATGTCAAAACAAGGTTAGATCAGTTGGTTGATCGTGAGACAAAGTTAGTGCCTTCTATTGACCCTAGGCCGACCTTGAGAAATAGATGCAAGTAGTAGATATGAGAAAACGAACCTATCTCCTGTAGGGTAATTACGGCTTTCTCTCGATACAGACTGTTACATTAACTCTTCCTTATCTCTACAAATTTTTTTTTCTTATAATAATTATTCCCATGTTATAATGGTTGCACGGCACAGTAACATTATTAAACCTATAGGCTAGTGCATGGTCCGTCACAACACGTTATATACTGGAAGAAGAAAGACGTATGTTACGTTCTAAAAGTGCACCTGCTCCCATTTAAGAGCAGCGATCGTTTAATTCTTGGCGTTTAAATAATGTACATTGGGCCCTCTTTAAAAGATTAAACAGCCCATAAATCTATTATATCAACCTACCTCTCGATCCCTGTAGCTTCCATCATAAAACGGAATTTAAGCTCGATGATATATTAATATCTAAATCGATAATTAACTTGTAACGTATAATATATTTTTCAAAACCAGTTTTTCTTTTTTTTTTATGAGGGGAGAGAGTCAGATTGACAATCAAAATCCGAATCAAATTCGAGCAATAATTGTTCGTGACAGTCATCGCGTAATGTCGAAACCTTAGGAAAAAAAATATGAAAGCATCATCTATTATTTCCGTCTCTGCCGCATCCATTCATCATACTCAGACTTACTGTCTAAGCTCATAAGGTTTGATTTCCTATCTGATCAACAAAGACATCCAAACAAGTCGGAATATCTCAGTAAGGAGAGTCAGGTAGATTTTAAAAAGCCAATATCGAGCCGACAGAACAAAGTGTCAGACAGTTAGCCCGGATGACTCACAGGCATCGGTTATATAGTAAAAGAACAAAATAAAAGGGAGGAGAAGACTAGGGTCTAACCGCAACATGAATTACGTAGAGTTTAATGTAAGCGATCGATCGTCACCTCTCTTGTTCCCCCGAGCTGTGTTTTTTACTCCTAACAACACATAATATAGCCATCTGTCGCGGTATACCGAAGCCGAGCCGTACTGCACCATGGCCTTGTCCCTCGCCAGCCACGTTATTAATGGCGAAACCGCGGGGACTCCCCCTCTTCCATGTATGCTTCCAGATAGAATTCTATCCCCGCACGGTCTCCTCTAACAACCAAATTTCGTGGTTTGTGCAACCTCGACCAAAAAATCTTCCAACGAAAAATCTTGCGACAGAATCTCTTTCTCATCGTATACATTTATCAAATGTCTTAATAAACATTGCAAGTAATATTAGTTGTAACAAAGTGTGTGGCGCAGCAAAGAAGCGGAGAGATAAAATTCCTTATATCCTAGAGGGGCAACCTTGACACGCGCAGCTAAACCTGACATATTTTATTTACAGACAGCGGGCTTACACGGATTGTCCCCAAGAGCTCCAACAAACGTTTGTCAACCGGTTGACAGTGCAGGATAGGCCAGTACATCAGGACCGAACGCACTCTCCAAAAACTTTAGGCGCAGGCATGACAGAAAGTCAAATTATATTCCTTTCCTACGTTTAGAGTGGATATATATTTTCTTACTTTGTCTGACCGATGTTTTCTTCTTTATTTTATAAATATATATATGTATTTATATCGTGGATTTTTAGCTGCCTAGACTTAAATAAAAACAAGCAAATTTTTCCTTCTTTATATAAGAATTAAATAAATTTTTTTCAAACTTATAGTAAAGGAATTTTTTAAACACCATTTGAATTAGAGGTGAAAATGGTTATTTTGGTCCCTTAAACACATTATTCTTTATAAATAAATTCAGAAAAAATTGTTAAATCACTCTTAATTTTAAAAAGAAATCTCTTGCATTTAAAATCATGACATTAATTTTAATGTAAACATTTTAAAATTATTTACAATTTTATTTATAATCATACATAAATTTTATAACATATAATATTTCTATAATATAAAATATTTATACTATAACAGTTTTAATATTTTTTAAATATTTTAAAGTGTTACAAAATCCATAAATTATTTACAAAAAATTTGTTAAATTATCTTAAAATTTTAAAGTTTTTTTTTTTTTTAAAGCTGAAATAATTTTAAACTCAAACTTTTTAAATTCTTAAATAATTTTTCAGTTCGTGTTTACAGGTGTTTAATGTTACAGAGATATAAAAATTACAAAAATTAAAATTTTTCTCACAGTTTTCAAGTTTAGAATTAGCCTTAGAATTAAAATGATACTTGTCTTATATAAACTACAATTAAATTTAATTATCACATAGTATATTTTTTTTTTTTTGCAAAAATTACAACAGGAGTCTGATCTATAAGTATAATATATTAAAAATCTAAGGTTAAAATCCCTATTAAATCTCTCCAACAGGTGCTTACGAATGATTTACGGCAGTATTTTTACCACCGTTAAGAAATAATCAAAATTACACGGCGGCCACCTTCTCCCAATTATTATTCCTCTTCGGGAATAGAGATGCAAAAAGCGCACAGGCCAATCCAAAATTGTAAGAGAGACGTCGCAGACAGCAACCCGATATTCATACAACCATTTGCACTAAAGTAATTATAAGGGAAAGACTCGAATATATAGATGATAATAGTGAAACAGGTCGAGTTTATACCTCATATAACAACAATAGTACCTCTAATTAGGTAGCAGTCGCCCTGCAGCTACGAGCCGCCAATATTCTAAACAGACATGTGTTCTCATAAATCTACTCTTACTAATTACTAAGTCACGACTATTACTGAACCGAAGACGTTCGACTGCTTCAATTTATTTACACCGTTAAGAAGATTTTAATATTCAAAAGTTTTTTGATAACTTTGTGAAACGCGCCAGAGGCACCCCGCTGATTATCGACACCCCTTTTAGACCGTTTCTAATGGCCTACGATACTAAAATATAGCGACGTAACACATCCGCAAGTTTTAAGACACTGAAAAAAGTAGTGGAAACAAAAAATAATAATAATAATAATAAATAAATAAAGAATTAAAGCGAATTTTTGGGCGGAACGTACTGAAAAGATACGGAACTTCGTGTTCTCTTACACCCAGGGTGGCGCTATTCACGTGAGGTTAATATTTAGTGGCCAGTGTGGTGCCCAGCAGGAGTCGAGCTTCCTGACCATCCCGCCAGCACGGATGTCCTGAACTCTTTTACAACCTATTAAGTCTTGTGCATCATGAAGACATCAGGATCCACGTTTACCAGGTTAAGGTGAAGAGACTCTCGCACATTCTCCGCATCGATCGGAAGGAAGTCTGCTCAGTAAAGTGATGGCTGTAAAAAGTGTCATAAATTGATTAAGATAAAAATTTTACCTGTCTACTACTAAATGTACAAGACGATAGGAAAATTGTACAGCAGTCGAAATAATAATATGATCTTTATGAGTAAGAGATTTGTAGAAAGAGATATTAATGAATCGAAAGTAAGAGATGGATATTTAATTAACGTTTAAGTTGAGATTTGTTGTATATCGAGAGCCCGAATTGCTATAATTATGTGCCTAGTTTATTAAAAATTTATTTCTCGGCGGAATAGATTTGTTTAATATTATATAAACTTTATTGAAAGACATCTTGCGTGAAGGCCTATATGAGAAACCAATCTGATTTCCAAAATAGTCATCGCTGATATTCGGTATCGTTAAAGAGCAACACGCCAGGTGTTCGTTTTCGACTGTGGCCAAATGGTAGGTAAATACTTCAATTTGCCAGTTAAATCGGAGGCGTATAACACGTCTCACCTGCCTTCTCCTACCGAGAATTGCATAATATATCCTGATAGCGAGGACCACATGCCTCGAAGATGTTACTCGGTATATTAGGAATGCGAGTGATGAACTACACCCGATAAATAATCTAGTCGTTTTAATGAAATCAAAACCGCTGATTCCACGACAAATTTCGGTTTGCTTAAACGTGCCAAAAACCCCCGAAAGTCCGAGTGACCAATCGTCCGTCGAACTGGCGTTATGGTCCGATGCCACACCATGTGGTCCGGCATTCCGAGTAACCGTTCTCCCGTAACCAAAGATACTCTAGTTTTTCTCCGAACGATCGAACGATTTAAAAATACTCAAAAATATAAAAATGTTTAATTAATTCCCCCGGAAAATAAGAAGGAAAAATAGAGGAAAAAATAATAAAAAAGCGGAAATGACGTCATTGTCCGCGCTCGGTTGACTTGTACGTCTACTGGCAGCATTTTTAGTGTTGAGTAGAAGCGGCAGAGCCTAGTGAAGAGAGCCGCCATCTGCGAGCCGGTGTGTGTGCGGTGGTGTGCGCGTGTGGTTGCCGAGCGAACCTGTTCCACTCTCCCCGGAGGTACGAGAACGGGTGTGTGTGCCAAGAGGGCCGAGGATCGTCGATAGCTGAGCCAAAGTAGCCCGTTCGCAGCGGCTGGAAGTCAAAGTGCGGGTCAATTAGCGGCGGGAAGGCCGAGAGCGCGGACGCAGCGGCCTGCGTCGCGTTCGAGTCGCTTGTGGTCAGCACTGTGCAGCAGAATTGATGATTTGTATGAAGAACCAACCCATTTTTCACACCTAGGCAAGTGGGCGCGCGTTTGGTGGCCAGGTCTACGGTGATTGGCCCCGATAGCCACATGACCCGCCGACGTAATGAGTCGCCGGCGACGCTCCGTCAGCACAGCGCGCAAGGATACGTAGTGCCGACAATATGGCCCGGATAACACGCCGGCGGCAGCCAATGAGAAGAGGGAAGAGCGTTCGCCAGTCATGCCCTGATTGCCTAGGGGGCATGACCGTCTAGCCCAGGATTATCACTCGCTAATAGGCTTCTTGAACTTTAATGACACGTTTTGCCATATATGGAAGTGGTTACCATGCCAACCCGACAGTTTCAACTATCGTGTCATAGTTCAAAATAGCTGGGTTACGTCCAGACGGTAGAGGAGAGATCTGTGGTGTGTCGTCGACGGAAGCAGACCAGTTCGGCGGCGGCTGTCTGACTGCCTCACCCCCGGTTCAAGTTTGGGGCTTCGTACATGTGACGTTGACTGTGGCTGGGAGCAGCAGTTTGGTGCCAGCCTCTGATCAAGAAGGACGCTGTGAAACTCGCTGGTCTCGGATAGTGCGCGCGCATCAGCGGCCCTTGTCCACCAAGTCGCCGCCACCTTAGCATGGCCCTGGTGGCAACCTGGCGGGACCCGGCCTCAAGTACGGGGAATACGGCTGCCGACGGTGACTTAGTCCCGCAGACCCCGACCGCTGTCCAACCCACTTCGGCCCAGCCCAGTACGCCATCGCAGAGTTCCGACAAGAACCAGCAGCACATCGAATGTGTGGTGTGTGGAGATAAGAGCAGCGGAAAGCACTACGGTCAGTTTACCTGTGAGGGATGTAAGTCTTTCTTCAAGAGGAGTGTCCGAAGGAACTTGACGTACACGTGTCGTGGCAGCAGAAATTGTCCTATTGACCAACACCATCGGAACCAGTGCCAGTATTGTCGTCTGAAGAAATGCCTGAAAATGGGCATGCGCAGGGAGGGTAGGTGCCCAGGTCAGCTACTTTTTGTTCTTCCCTGGCACCCAGGTACGTGAACCCTGTCGGTAGCGACTCGTCCTTTGACCTTTCGGAGGGTGACAGGTCAGAGCGGCAAGCCGCTCGCCTCGGGGTTCGGTACCCTGGGTGCCTCTCCCTCCGTCCATTCTTTCTCTAGTCTGTAATACTCTTATAGGTTATGCGCATGTGAATGTATCAGGTATGGTGTTATCAGCTTGCGGAGGGAGACAGCACGCTGCCAGCGTGTGTACATAACCCAACCATTCTTCTGTGTAGTGTCACTGTCTGTGGTAGTCGGAAGAAGGTAGTTAAGGTAGCATCATCTAATACTTTTCTCATGACGGTTATATTATGCTAAGAGGAATGCAATCAGTCGATAAGATCTGTTATGTGTCATGTGACACTTGTCCTCTGATGACAACTAGACATACTACATATTGCCCCTGTCTTTACCCTGCAGCTGTACAGAGGGGACGTGTTCCACCCACCCAACATGCCCTGCCTGGTCAGATGGCCCTCACCAACGGAGACACACTCAACGGACATTCCTATCTTTCAAGTTTCATCTCCTTGCTGTTACGGGCCGAACCCTATCCACCTTCGAGGTACGCCCAATGTATGCAGCCCAACAACATCATGGGGATAGACAACATCTGCGAATTGGCAGCAAGGCTCCTGTTCAGCGCCGTGGAGTGGGCTAGGAACATTCCGTTTTTTCCAGACTTGCAAGTCACCGACCAAGTGGCCCTCCTACGGTTGGTGTGGAGCGAGTTGTTCGTGTTGAACGCATCCCAGTGTTCGATGCCTTTACACGTTGCGCCGTTACTAGCGGCAGCCGGACTTCACGCATCGCCCATGGCGGCGGATCGCGTGGTTGCCTTTATGGACCATATTCGTATTTTCCAAGAACAAGTAGAAAAACTCAAAGCTCTCCACGTGGATGCTGCAGAGTACAGCTGTTTAAAAGCAATTGTATTATTTACGACAGGTAAGTGTCAATATTTTTCTTAACCGCCCCGAGCTAGAATGGTATCTAGAACACTGATTGTTTCCTCTTTGACCTCTGATCCAATCATCTCTCACGCCAAATGCGTGGAAGAGGGCAACAATACCCTCCAAAAATTTCATTCACTAAAACAACCAATATTGTTTAAACGATAGCTCTTATCAAAAACGATATATCTCGGTGGGGATAAAAAAAATTGTTAGCATGCTTCTTCTTCTTCTTTTGACGATTGCTTTTTTCTTCCTTTTTTTTCTCCAAACTTGTCTTTGGGGAAAGCCGGTTTGGGTTATAAATTTCCCTCCTTCATTCTGCGGTTTTGTTAAGCCAACTGAGACGACGTGAAGCTCGGTCAACCATCCCGGATCTAAAGACCCGCTCTGACTTGTCAGGGGTGCAGCAATTCGGCTCAAATACCTTAGTTCACCCAACGAATCATAACGAAAAGAACACTTCTTAAGTGGATCGTTGTCGTTGCTAACTGTGACAAGACGAAATCGTACAGTTCACTACGACACTTGGCATTTCTCTGTAAATCATTTTTAGACTGTGTGTTTGCTTCCACCACCAAAGATACGGCAACACGCCATGAATTATTGACGGCGATTTCTTGGCGATAAATTACAGAAACGTGTCTGTCTGGCTTGATATCCGAAGCAAAGTCTCAGCACCAACATTTAAGCACGCAGAAGGATATAGACTGGATAAATTCCATTCAATAGTAGACAGTTTAACTCGCTAATTCTTAACCTCCCTTAAGGAAAGCTTTGTAGGACGCAAGCTAAATCCATCCCAAAAACACTCGTAAAAGCTGCAAGGCAAAACACTTTTTAATTTTAACTTAGCCACAAATTAATTCTCCAATCGATAAAAAACAATTTAAACCATGCTTTGAATCCTAAGCTAAGAAATGTTCTTCACAAATTTACACCCGATAGAACAGGCCTAAATGGCTTACCCTTAAGTGTAGAGCTAGCAGTGTTTATAGATATGATACGATAGAGATAGCTGACACATGTAAGAGGTTTTAAAACAGTTCCACGACAGGGTATTAAAGGTGAGTATCGACCGCTCAGACTGCAGTCGATTGGTAATTGTTTTTATGTGCCTTCTCCGCTCGGATATTGAACATAGCATGGAAGGGAGGAGACAGCGAAGAACAGCAGCAGCCACGGAAAAAAAAAACTTTAACGGTTTCACTAACGATTAATTTAACATTGCCTCAAACCATAACTGCGAAAGATCGAACGCTCGCCACTATACAATACAGTTTTTGCCATATCCTGTTTAGATGCCTGACAATCAGCTGATACGAATATGCTAGGGCTCCACCTCCTAAGTAAGGGCGTGTGCTGCATTTGGTCTAGAGATGCGAATTTTTCCCACGGACGGTTATTCTTAGTTATTACAGTCATCTTTGTACCCTTTCCTAGTACACAACAGAGAGAAGTCATGCGTAAAACACTTAAAGAAATGTCACTGTCCGTATAATGAACAGGAAGAAATGTTTTGTGATGTTTTGGGAATAAAAATACTTGATTTTTCAAATATTTTAGATTGTTTATAAACTTTTTATATGACGATTTAGCTAGCAGCGACTTTATAGGCTTATAGGCTATTCGTGTCATGTTTTGAAATAGATAAAAACAGCTCTTAACTTCTTTATAGACTGAGTTTTACTTATTTAGTAAATATATAAATAACTTATATAATAATTCAATAGAGAAAACTATAAAGATACGAAAATATAAAAACTTTTCAGTTAATTAATTAATTATTCTTGAATTAATAATTTATATGTGATATTTTATTGAATATATTTGATTTTAGTGATTAGAGTGTAGAAAATTTAAAATTGCTCTTCTCCATCTCATTAAATAGGAAGTTATTGTAGCTACTTCCTTTAAAATCTTGTGATCTATGTGCAACTAGAATAGGAAATCAGTTTTAATAATTAAAAATTTTATATTTTATATATATAAAAGTATTAATTAATATTAGATATAAGATAACCCATAATTATATTAGGCATTTTGTAAATCATTGTAAATATTCTACAGGCCTACAGATCAAATTACTATTATTTATAAATTTTTCAACATTTAAATAAATTATACAAGAATAAAATCTTGATTTAAAACATTTATTAAATCTTTTATAAAATTAAATTTTAATTTTAAATATTTTTAAGACGATTTAAATAATTAAAAACTGGGATGAAAATTTATGAATATTTAACTGCTATTTCGAAAAAAAAAAAATAATAATAATTAAGTTAAATGTATTTGATTAATAGGCCTATTTTTAAATTTTTAAATTTTGAATTTTAATATATATTATTGATCATATTTCGTGTTAAAAATTAATTAACTGTAGATAAGTAAAGCATATAAGATGTATAGATAAAGAATTGACTAATAGGCCTTGGTTACAGCATATGAAGTAGCATGCGTTGTTTATGATCCACATGTTTCAATGCATACATAGATTATTATAAAGTTTATTTTTCACAAACTAGACAAACTACAATAACGTTTGAGGCTTTCTTTTTTTTTTTATTCAGTTAAACACAAGAAATATTTTAATTTATTCACTTTTTATCCCTATGTTTTATTGGCCTAGGCCTGTTTTACATCCTACATTTATAGACTTATTTTTAGAGTTATTTTTTGCCTATATTTTCAAGTTTATATATTCCCTTTTCACGTTTAAAATGTTATTTTCTCTCGTATATATATATATATAAAGAAAAGAAACTCAACTCTATCGATTTTTATTCTTAAACTTTCATTTTTGTTCAGCAAGTGATATAGAATTAATGCGAATTGGCAATGTAGAATTTTTGAATTTTTCTCTTCTATAAAATGTTTACAGTTTAAAATCTCGATAATAATTATGTTAACGTTCTTTTTAAATTCGTACAGATTTTTTTTTAATGCATTTATTAACCACTTATTAATGGAGTAAACGGTGTAGGTGGGGTCCTCCACCCTTATCGTGTCTTCGAAGCTGACGGAACGAGTTCAACCTAGATTCCTTTTTTTTTTTTTTTCTAAATGTGAGCGGGTTAACGACAATATGTCCCTGAATGGAACATTTGACCTCTGTTTCGAAATGGTTGCTCGTCATGCTTGCCGCCTCTGACTTGCACATCAAATGATCTTTCATTTTTTTGTCACTCCACCGCCTCTCTCGGCTCCTCTTACCCTGTATGTGCAGCAGATGGTATTCTACGTCGCTTGCTTAGCCAACTGTTTGCCAGTCGACACCTCTGCCGCAAAAATGATAGAAAAGGTGTGTCGTTTTTCCACCTCGTCACTTCATTATACTTTTAATATTGTCACCAGAAACTGGCCCTAGACACGAACGACAGGCTGTAACAGTGGAACAGTCATCATTACCTTCTTACGTAAAAAAAAAATAAAAAAAAAATAATTAAAAATCACTCTCTTAAAAATTCTATAATTAGACCCACTTCTTGAGTCATCACTCATTTATATTTTTCTAACAGACCTACTGTCTCCTCCGATTCCGTGTAAAACGATATCGATGTTTAATTTGAGATTAAACTCAACGGACATTGAGTCAGGAAGTTAGAATATGCAATACAAGCGATAATATATTGCGAAATCTTCAAAAGAGAAACTCATTTACAGCTTCCTGAAGTACTTTACTTCAATTATTCTAGTTAAAAATAGAAAAGTAAAGATATTATTTTTACTATGAGGCGTGTCCGGAAAGTAAGTACCATTTCGTTCTACCGCCATTGCAGTGGTAGTATCGCAGTTCAGCACCTGCGCACATGTCTCTCTGGTTGATCGTCAGTCCAGTGACGCCATTACAGCCGGATTGTGTTGTTTTTCCACGTATTAGTGAGCGTTCAAAAGACTATTGCCGATCCCGCCGACTGTAAGTGCATTCTGTAATACGGTTTTTGAATGCAAAGAATGTTGAGCCAGTTGAAATTCATCGTCAACTTATAGAGATTTGTGGTGAAAATATAATGAGTGATGGAATGGTTAGAAAGTGGGTTCGACAATTCAATGCTGAACGCACTGATGTTCATGACGAAGCATGGAGTGGCTGGCCGTCTGTTGTCAATGATGGTTTGGTTGCAAAAGTGAATGAAAAAATTCCTGAAAACAGACGGTTCACAATAAGATTGCTTTGTGATGAGTTTCCACAAATTTCAAATACTGTTTTGAAAGAGATTGTTGCAACAACCGATGTTCAGCAGTGGCTGTCTTCACTGGCGGCATCTTTCTTTGAAGAGGATATAGACAAGTTGGTTTTCCGATATGACAAATGTCTGAACAATGGTGGTAACTATGTAGAAAAATAGTTTCAGACATGCTCTTTCATGTGAAAATAAATTTTGTTTTGAAAAAATATTTTTTATGCAAGTTTTTCCAAAATGGTACTTACTTTCCGGACATGCCTCGTACATTTGTGATTATAGTACAGAAAAAACTCATAAAATATTGTGAAATTCGAAGTTCATATAATTTCATAAAAGAAGTTAATCCTTTAAATTTATAATAAATTCCTTTAACTAGAGGAATTTGAACCTACAAAAACGAAATATAAAGTACATGAGAAATTTATAACTCTTTCTATTTAACTATAAACATTCTCACGATCAACTCGTGTATAGTTTACAATTACCAGCGAAATTCGTCATAATGTTGTCATTCTAACACCAACTTTAACCCCACACCTGCTAAAACAATTGGTCACCTGATGAATTTTCTCACCACAAAACATATAAAAGCCCTCCTCTTTCCTCTCTCAGGGGAGTCACCAATCGAACGAACGACGACCAAGACGGAAATTAACTTCCCTTATACCTACTGTACGACCTTAATTGGAAGACCTTGAACCATACCTTGCACCACCTTTAGGAACAATTAAAGCCAGAACATCCATCCGATATTATCTCAGAGTTATGAAATATTATTGTAAACTCTCTCTCTCATCCGCGAAGTTGAAGGAGTTTTGTAAATTTTTGTTCAGTTAGCGAGTTAAATAAACTGTTGTTTTGTTTTTAAATGGTGTCGTTACTCGACTTTGCCAACGTCTTATCGTCGACCTCTCCGACTCTCCTCCACTCGCATAATGCGTAACTGAACAAAACACCATCCTTGACAAGAAAGTAGGTCACCGACCTGTGGCCGGAAGGAGAGGACTTCCCAACCTCCCCAGCAGCTCACAATATAATCATTGTCTTTATATTGATATATCACGTATACAACAGTAACTTCAATAGCACCATCGCCGTAAAAACTTTGCTAGCCAGACCTCCACCGCAATCCAAATGCAAACGCAAATAAGTCACACGATTAAAAGCTTTTATAATGATGAGTTTTATGCCTGTTTTTACACTAGTGGAGTCTCAGCCTTTTTGTTTCAATCCAATCAAGAATAAGAATAGCCTGGAAAAATTGAAATGGCATATTAAACAATCATAAAAGATAGATTTGTATAGTTTTACATGCAAATATATGTAAAATTGTGTCCAGGAGATTGAAAAAACTTCCACCTTCTAATAAGGTGGCATATTCGACAATCTAGCACCACATTGGTCTCAACGATGCTGAGTTAATGGAATTTCACTGTATTGACTTTAATAGGAAACAAGAAAACAGAAAAAAGCATTTAAGGATTCATTTTTTATTGTGATAAAACACTTTTCAAGATGATTCACATTTCACTTTCAAATCTGAACCAAAAAAGTTCAGAAAGCAAAATATATCAAATGATGCAGTTTTAAATTCTAATTATTTTATAAGACATTCTAATAAGTTTTAAAATTCATATCACTTAAATAACATAAATTTTAATAGTTAAATTAAATGTAAAATAATTAATAAAATAATTATTTATTTGGTATACTGATAACATAAAATATAAATAAAATAAACTGTAGTCTTTCCTAGAATAAGAATGGAACCAGTGTTCATTAGTCTACAAACAATACACAAAGGAAAATAGTTCTGTGTTCATTATATAGAGCATTATATTAGAAAATTATATATGTTACATATATATTTAAACTGTTATATTCAAAATTTCCAATTTTTGCAAGAAATATTAAATGATAAAAATAAAAATAAAAAACAGTTCAAATTTTTTAGTTAAGGCAGAAAGTGATACACATTTAAGATCCAATACATCAGCTCAATTCTTATTCTGGAAAATACTATAAATAGTTTTAACTATTAAGTTTTTTGGGGTGTAAAGAAAATACACATTAAATCAATAATGTTTAACTTTTCATATTATAATGTGGCATGAAAGTGAAATTATAACATTATCACTTTTCACATGTGAAAACATCAATATATCTTCAAATATGGGTTGGTTGAAAACATTTGTTTTTATTAAATCAATGTTATATTGCTAGATTTTCTAGTTTGGTGTGTTTTTTTGACATCAATAATCAGATCTAGGGTCTAAATCAGTGTTTTTCAACTTGTGGGTTGCGATTCCCAGCGGGATCGCAAAGCCTTACACGGGGGGGTCGCGGGTGAAAGAAAAAGACAAGTGTTTGTAGGTCCTACACTACAATAAAAAAAACTAGAATTTCAGTGAGAAGGCTGTGCCTGTTTATTTTATAGTACAATTGGTTTTTCGATCGATATTTAAGGAAAGAAAATTAAATACGTACTTTTTAACATCACTGATATAGTTTTGATATGGCTCTGGTGGGGTTGCCAGAATTTTTTAACTTGTAAAGGGGTCGCATATTCAAGAAGATTGAAAAACACTGGTCTAAATCATTTCTTTCATATTTCTTATTCATACTGATTAATATTAGTTCTTGAGTTAATCTGCTGTTTTTAAAAGAAATGTTTTTTGAATCTGATAAAACAATATATCTGCCCGTTTCCATTTGGCAACTGTTTCTTGTTCAGAATCGGCTGCTCTGCCAAAACCATATTCCAATTCCTATTTAACAGTCTTCTTAAGTTCTTTTAATATCTCAATTATGCTCCAAAACTGGAATATCTCATGTAAATGAAGACAAACACTGAAACCAACATAA